TCAGTCGTTAAATTTGTCATTAGTCACTTTTGTGGAGAATATTGTTTCTACAAGCGATTCGTTTAATCCGTCGATGCAAGCCACTGTCTCTGCCGACAGTGTGCTTCGAGCAATTCTTCGGGGTTTGCAGCTCTTCCACGACAAAAGAGATGCTTTTTTTGTTTTGATAATTGTCAAAAACACTAGAAAACCACCTTGCGTTGATCCGTCGGAATTATTACTTAACAAGGCATCTGTAAAACAAACGATTCTCCATAAATGGGACCCTCCGAGGTCAGGAAATAACAAGGGTTTATTGGTGACAAATTGTAGCCTCCGTACGAGTTTATTAATCATCAGGAGGCCGTTCACGGTGAACTGCGAAATAATACCAACAGCATGTGCAACAAACAACGCGAGATCTGAACGAGATTGAATTGCAGGCCAAAGGAGCTTGCCTAAAGTAGATCTTGCATCGGATCTCTTGCGATCAGTAATCACAGATCGTTTGGCATCAAGTCCTGATAGTTCAACGGGAAAACTATCAATGTTCTTACAATAAGTCGACTGATCGATGCAGAGGCCTGAAAAGCCCCTAGCTACGTTCAAGCCAAGATATGTATGTGGCAGTGATTTTCTGAATCCAATATCAAGAACTTCTGGGATTTTGAAAACATTTTTGCTGAAAAACTCAGCAGACCCGGCGATCCAATAATTGTCTACATGCAGACATATGACTCCGTTAATTTCTTTTCCATCCCAGTAGAAGAGTGCTAGGTCGAACTTAGATCGCTTGCCATCTAGAGCGAATAGTTCTTTACAGACACGTTCATACCAGTATCGCGACGCGTCTGACAGTCCGTAGACACATTTTTTTAAATTTGAACAGCATGTTAGTGCAAATTGGGTGTTCTTTTGGTGGCTTCACGTAAACATCTCTCTTCAGCGGCAGACCTTGAAGAAAAGCTGTTTTCACATCCATAGCCTGACAATCTGTCCAATTTTCTCTTGACGCAAAAACTGATAAAATGAGTCAAAATGTTTCTCTTCCGCAAGCTGGTGAATCTTTTATCAGAAAATCTTTCAACGGATCCATGTGACCTTTCCCGACTGAACGAGCCTTTTTCGTCCGTCACTTTTTGTTGTTAAAACCCATCTGGTGGCAAGTCGTTGATGTCCGGCATCTCGTATCTCTTCAAATACTGCGTTATCACTCCAGAACGTAAGCTCACATTTCTTAGCCTCCTCAAACGACAACTCTGAGGCTTCTTCCATTTCTTCGATAGAAACTAACGCAATATTTTCTCGTTTTCTTAGAGCATCGTCTATTGTTTCCCATTGATCTACTTGCGTCTGAAAAACCAACAGCCCTTTCAGTCCTGCAAACGATTCCGGAGCCGTATATTCCACATTTAACCAGTTTCGATGAACTCCTTTGGATTTCCCAGCTCTGCTTATGACGACCGCCTCAAGAGGACAGTCATTTCCAGTCATGTGAAATCTGACTTTGCTTCTTATCGGTGGGAGGGCAACAACAGGCACCGAGATCCCAGTCTGCATTTGACCTGGACTGACTTCTAAGGATGTAGACAACATCGAATCAGTGTAAGCAGCAACTGTCACTTCATGTTGTGTCTCTGAAGGACCTGATGAGGTCCCGAGGCATGGCTGTAATTCGTTGTGAGATTCGGCGCCATGATTGTGATAGCTCGAATTAGTTGTTTCTGGTTTCAAAGTGTCGGGACACGAGCCATTTTCTGACTATACCTGTTCAATCGCCGCGCCAACTGTGTTGTGAGGCCGAATCTCGGAAAAATCATCATCAAGAGCAACATTTTCTAGTTGACCATCTGTTCGCGCACTAGAACAGACGTGGTGTTACTGTCACTCTTCAGGATACCTGACATAACTTTGCGTATACGAGCCTGGTATACTCTATCAACATTTCCACCGTGTGTTTCACTAAGTAAAAAAACATTGCCTGGCGCTCTCCAAACTTTTGTATCGCGTTGATAGAAAACCTTTTCTCCTGGCTCAATTCTCTCATTAAGGGATCTGAAATTATGTCTAAGCGCTCTGTGGATTCGTTCGGACGACTCAGCCTGAATAAAAGCCTGTCGGGCTTTGTGAAGACTCTGCAAATGTGTCTGAACTATTTCTCACGAACTGGTATTCTCCAAAGCAAGCAGTTTATTGTCCAGAATATTTGGCAGGTTCGGTAAGCGTCCAAAAACGAGCTGATAGGGACTGAAACTAGAGAAATAAGCTAAAGTTCTTTGCAAAAACAGCTTGTTGAACACAACTCGTCATTATCTGAAACGTCATGACGGAATTTCAGAAAAGTTTCTGTCAACACCTCGCTGTGGCGTTCCACACAGCCATTAGACCATGGAGAAAAAAAGCAGCCGTGCATAAAACCTCAATATCTAGATTCTCTGCATTCGTTCCAAATTCTGCTGCATCAAATTCACCGTTGTCAGTAAGAACTTTCTCTGGTGTGCGAAATGCGAAACACCACACTTATGCGGGTTACAACTGGTTTAGCAGACGCACGGCCATACTGTGCACAAACCCCACAGGTCTCGCAAATCTTTAATTTTCTCAGACACATCGTTGTCTTTGCAACCAGCGCTTTCCAAAAGTTGATCCAAGCGCTTTGCAGTACAGTGCGCAAACTAATTGTGTAACTTAACAAGCGTTTTAGGGTCAAATTCTTTTGCAGAAATAAAAGCGAAACACTCAGAATTTGGTAAAAGGTTAACAGTTATATGTCCAGTTGATGATGTGGAAAGGAATTCGTTCTAGAGAACTTCCCATTGTCAAAAAACCATCTCCGAAGAAAATATTAATCTTAGCACTTGTAGTGCTTTTAAGACTTATTAACAACGGCAAATTCCCAGGTATAATATCAACATCAAGAAAACACTTGAGAGCCCCAAGTTTGATGGGTATTTTAACAGATTTTGACGCTGTAACTCGTCCTCCGCCTCCAACACAATTGTTATCCGTCAATTATTGAAGCTGACGCACTTTCTGTCCAGAGCAGTCAACTTTTGCGAAAAATTACTTAGCCACTTCTCGCCGGCTACAGTTATAGTGCAAGCACTGTCTAGAATGCCTTTACAAAAACATTCTTGTAAAGTCCATTTGAAATGCTCGCGAAGGTCAAGTAACACGATTTTTCTGCAATCTGCTCATTAGAAAGTCCATCTGTCGGATTACTGGTTTTGTCGGGACAGATACGTGCCCAATGGTTCCTGGAACCACAAACAGCACAAAGAGATATTTTGCCTCTCCTATCAATTGGATTTTTGCCCTGTGATATGTCTTTTCGATTCGGGTAAGGTTTCGACGAGTCAGAACGGAATCTTGCGCATTGCACGGTTCGTACAAAACGCAGATTCCTCATTTTCTTCATCTCGTTTACTTTAAGAATTACCCAGGAACACTGATTCGTCCTTCAACTCTGGACCACTGCTAAAAATTTTATTGGTCATTGTGGACTTCATGATACGCCTTAGCGTAGACTTCATTTTCTCAAAGTCGAGATCAGTCGTTGCTGACAAAACCATTTTACGTTCATTTTCACCTGTGGTAGTTAACACGCTAAACAGAATCAGGAATTGTCATCTTCTGAACGTTGACTTTGGATTATCGGCTTTCAAAATCCAGAATGAAATCGGCAACACTGACATTGTCTGGACGAATACATGTCTCGAAAGCCACACAGGCTTCGTACGCTTTGTCAGTGGCATTGACGTCAAAAAAGTTCTTGAGTTTTTCGAGAAGGCGATTCATCCAATTCTCGTGCTCCAGGTTCTCAACTCCAAGAGACAAAGCAGTATCTCGTTTGCGTCCTGTCAGAGCATAAAAACAATCAGAGCTTGCTTTTTTGCGACAACATCTGTGATGCAGACCCATACATCCACTTCTTTCTTCCACGTTTCAAAATCTTTGTTGTCGGGCCAAGATGGTGGGGCTTTGAATGATGTACTCATGATGTAATTTAGATGCCGGTGATCAAACTACTTCCATGAAAACTATTGATTGCTAATACATCTATTACATAAACCCCATTGAAATAGAGTATATGTTCTACAAAACACAACTTACACATCACAATCACATGACAATTAAATACACACTAACAGGTACAACTTTTAAATTTAAAAAAATGGTGAAATACTTAAGGAGAAAAACAAGAATTACTGCGAAAAGCGAAAATTTTTTCAAAGCGTCTCAGAAAACCAAATCCCATACATTTTCAGGAGACCCATTATTATCAATTTTTTATTAAAACACCATTGAAATCAAGCAAAACAGCAATAACATTGACGAACACTTTTAAGTAACATTTTAATTTGCGACTTGAGTTGAAAAAAGTCGTACTATGATAGTATGGTAGGCTTGTCTAAAAACTACAAAAAAAACTTTTCTTTTTTTTCAAAAAATTGTCAATTCGTGTGATGATGAAACATCTATACAAACAAGTCTAAAATTATCAAATTAGGCATAATCGAAAACAGTTGTCTTCAAAAATCATAAACAAAAATGTGGAAAACTAAAAAAAATGCCAAGGAAGCGCTAAATGAAGCTTCCGAAACTAGCGTTCATTTACAGAAATCAGGTTTTATCAATCTAAAGAGCTAATTTTTATTCAACGAACATTACGTACATGATCGCTTTACTCGAACGCTTTAAATTTAGGCGAAAACTCATATGTCAAACCGGTTTTCTCGACAATGAAACAACTCTTTGAAATGCCTCAATGTCGTTAGAATCACGGCTAAGAGAGCCTGAGTATGAAACATCGTTCGACCCATTCTGATGACTTTGTAGGGTACCCGATTCAACTAAAATCCTACCTAAAACACACCCGAATACCAAATTCCTCCCCATTTTCAACAAAATAGAAAAAATTTTCATTTGATGTAAAAGCTGGATATTTCCTTAAATCTTCATTGTTAATGTATTATATGTTGAGGCCCAGTAATTTCGATAAATATCATTTGATTGCTTACCTTGCAGTCAGCAGAATTCAACAAATTCAATATTGATCCATTGAGTCCATTAGTTCGTATTAACCCAGAAGTTTGATGCCGATGGTTGGAACTCGAAAAACTTGATTTTGATCTACCGTGATGAATATCAATAATTTCTCGTTTAACGAGCTCGCTGTTTATTCGATGACCAGGATGGGGTCTTCCTAGACAAGAGTTGAGGACTCTGAAAACATTTTTCGAATCTTCTTTTTCGTGAAACCACACTGCGTATATACCTAAAACCAGCAAAAAATAATTGAGTTGCGTAGGGTCAACATAAGACTGCTGCCCACCCCCACGAATTCTTGCTTTGATTTGTAGATTTTGAAAACAGCAGATTTCTTTGCCGTCCACTTTATACTACACAGCCATTCAGTTGAAATAATTATTCCGATAGAACAGTCAATGCGAAAACCAAGTCGATAGCCATTTAGTAAAAATAGGTCAATTTTAAGGGCGCCATTATTGATCTACTAAACTGTGTAATCGGAAATTTAAAAAATGAGAATGGAAGAAATCATCAATCGGCTGATAATTTTCATTCAGCAAACTGTATCATTTCGACTATTTCCAATGGTGCGTTCTTTTGATGGCAAAATTGCGGAATGTGTATGCCTGTTACATCTATTTCTTAATCTTTCCGCTTGATTTCAAATTTTATAAGCGCTATGTTCAGCTAGCCGGGAAATCCGTGTAAGGCACATTCTAAAATGACATGAGCATTCCGGCAAGACTAATTGGCTAAAGGCACTGCATATCAGACTGGAATTTGAAAGATTGCTAGCCAGAACCAGAGTCAAACTATAGCTTTCACGCAACGGGTATATATTTTTAGTTCAGCCCAATCGGGAGGATACTTCAACTTCTCACCTTTAATGTTTTTATACAGAAGATAGGGGAAATTTAGCTGCAGTCCAACTCCATTGGATAGAACTTCGGAGAAATTTTGCTGACTTTTGGTGTTCATCAGTGTGAACCCAAACCGCGGTCGTTCGTTTCGTTCAAATACAAAAATATTTCCTTCAATTTCTGTTTTTAACCATTTGGTTTCTTTTGTATCGAATTTGTATAAAATGCAGTGGCCTGAATTGCATAAAACTTTTTCGATGGAGTTATCTCTTCTTTGAAGGGCTCCTAGCATTATGTCTTTTGCAACTGCCATATCAAATCTTAAACAATTATTATTTAGATTTAAATACTTTTAACCAGTCTAATAGGAATTTTAACTGTCTAATCGGAAACTTAAAAATGAGATTCTAAACACAGCTCTACATGCTTTTCACCGTCTCTGCCAAAGCCAATTTGTGACATTCGACCAAATGGACGAAAATGCAATTTCGGATTACTAGCAGCTAACCTTCCGAATTGGCAGTTCTAGAGGATTAACAGTGTTATTCAGACGATTGGACGAATCGTGAAGGCTAGAATATTCTGGTATTATGAATTTTTAAAATTTCGAATTATGACGTCATATTTCTGAGAAACGTCAAAAACGACCATTTTGGAAGAAATCTGAAATAAAAACAGAACAACAATAGTTGCGACGGCGACAACAACGATAATCGCAAAAAAAAACAATAACGAGAAATGAACGAATAGCAGAGTTAGCAGAGACCGCTCCGAGTTGCAACGATTGTGTCGCTACAATCGTTGCAAGGCCATTCACAACAACGGTGAAGGGTAGAAATCAGCCTTCCGGAGAGGAAATAAGGGTGTTATCTCCCCGGATTCAGGAATCCGAAGGGGTCTCGAGACTTGAACTTAAACAATTTTATACAAACTTTTAGCTTCCCGATTACGTCCTGAATTGAATTTAATTAACATCTGAATGCATTTTCTGAAGATGAGAAGCTAGGAGTTAAGGGAAAGGGTTGATCCATCTTCGATGGAGATGATGATTTTTATCTACTGAACAAAAACAATAGTATAATAAAAAGTAGTGGTAGCCCTGTTGTTAGGAGTGACCTCGTGGTCTGGGGATACTGAGACCCAGCCACGAGCTCACTAATTTTGCATGTAATTAAGTTAATTTGAGCGTTCCTGTCGAAGCCGGAGAACAGTAACGTTTTTGTCGACCCGATGTTAGAATGACCACCAAAAGAACTGGCTTTTGTAGAGACGGTGAAAAGCATGTAGAGCTTAGTTCAGACGCTGGCCATTCGTTTTATAGCTTAGCTTTATTTTCCGTCGATATGTACTTCCGGGCGAATGTTACATAGATGTTTTTATGGCGCTCCTGGTTGTTATTCTTTTTAACATCATGACCGGCAGAACCGTTAACGAGCACTCCGCGCCGAACGGATGCTCATAATAACGCCCTTAATAGGCCCTAACCGCCGATGCGGAAGGGTAGTTCGGAACGCGGAAGCCCTTCGGATTACCGTGAATAGCTTTTTAACCCAGTTAAGACCAAAAATTTACGTTCAAGGAAGGGTGGGGGGTTCGGACGTCTCCTTGTTCTCTGAGAGGTTTGTGACCAAAAACCCTTAAAAATACATAAGAAACCAAACAAAAAGTAGTATAGTACCTAAAAAAAATAAAAAACAAAAAATAACCAAAAAAAAACAAAAACAATAAAAAAGTTTTAAAAAATCAGTGGAAATCATCCCCCCAGACAAGATGTGATCCGAAACTCCCGTTTTTTGTTGATAGATATATTGTTGTTACAGGCTTTTATATCAATCAGGATCGTTACGATCAATTTTGAGGCCCGTTTGTCAGGCTTGTACTGTAGGGTTATTTGAGTACTTAAGCACGTTAATGCTAATTTGCGCTCAATCCGGAAGGGTCTGCTGATTTGCGCTCAATCCGGAAGGGTCTGCTGATTTGCGCTCAATCCGGAAGGGTCTGCTGATTTGCGCTCAATCCGGAAGGGTCTCGGGGTTAGTGAAGAAGACTGATCCGGCAAGCAGTACAAGGAGTGACAAGAAGGGGCTCAACGACAACAACAGTCGACTGTTGGGTATCGTTAACAAGTTTTGTATCCCTTTTGGTACAAAAAAAGAGATAGTAATCTGTGGGGGGCTCGACAGTGCTGCACTGTAGTTGTAACATTCGCCCAAATACTACACAGTGACGGAGCGTAGAAAAAGCACCTATTAACGACTGGCAGGCGTCAGTTACCTTGATCCTACTCGTTTTTCACCGTCTCGACCTTGCCAGTTGATTTTCTGGTCTGTTTAGGGCTAAGTAAAAAGTTACCATTTTTAAGCCATCAGTCAAACGACTTTTGATCAGCTTTCGTTTACATGCGAACACAACCACATAGCTGAGTCTCGGATCCTCAGACTACGTAATTGCCATTAAAAACACGGCTCGAACAACCTATTTTAATATGTTTTTGTGTGACAGTTCTATATTAAATCCATTGGAGATGGATTGACCCTTTCCTCTTTCTAGCTACTCATATTCTAAAATATCAAATTATACCGGTGTTAATTCAGACTTCTACGACATCCAAGTAGCTACAAAGTTAGTTTTATATAGTCCCTTCACATAAAACAGTCTCTGGGGGACCAAGCCTCCGCTCCCGTAATCTTCCTGAGATAACGTCCTTATCTCTTCCAATTTGTGGCACGGGAGGGTTCCGTGGAATATTCCTTCCCCACTGAAGCTTCCTTCTCCACTAACGTCCTCTGCTAAGAGTCCTATCGTGTGTTGTTGCCACGATAAGAGGCTTTGTGTTTTTCGTCTCTTGTGCGACCGTTTTCCACAATATTTGTCGTTGTTCTCTTTTTTCGTCGTTTTTCGTCAAAATGGCCGTCTTTTTCTATTTCTCAGAAATATCCACTCTCCAATCGAAGTTTTAAAAATAAAAATTCTAGAATATTCCTACCCTCCTTCGCAATACTTTTTCGTTCCTAAGGCCTTTATTCAATTTATTTCGTGTCGCCGGAAGATTGCGCTGTGTCAATCTGGCAGAATGGCACAAGTGACCCTTCACCGAACTGCGAATTTCCGAGTTAAGCAACTTAATTCGGATATTGAACAAACCCGGAGGGTTATATTATTACTAGTATTATTATTTTTTCTACAGCCTATTTTTATACTCCTATATCGTTTTTCAGTGAAAAACACAGTAAGCGGACCGGTTTTTAGGATCAAAATAGCGATATTTTGATCCACCCACAAATCGCGATTTTTCAGATATCGATATTTTTGAAACGGAAAAAAGCACTAAATTAGCGAGTTACATCGTAACTGTGCTAGTATAGTAGGTAGAACCGGTTGAGTTTAGTTCAGAAGTGGTTGGAACTATTTTGCTTCCAAAAACCGAATTTTCGTGATTTTTGAATAAACCAAACGCTATAAAATAAGAAAATTTTTTGAAATTTTCAGTTAGGACAGTTAAAATAGTTGTTCGGGCAACGTCCACTAGTGAATCAATCGACAGGTTTTAAAACCCGTTCGCCGATAACCTTCCTGGTTACAGAGAAATCTAACTTAACGTGTTTGATTCAGTGGATTCATCAACCCGGAGGGGTCCAAATAGCATAGTTTTTCGCAAATTTTTTCAGCGAGATTGTTTTAGATCGGGTTTTTTGCATTGAACTAGAAGAGTATAGGCCTTCTGAGCTCGGATCAATAATTTTTAGGTCGAAAAGAACAGAATTGCGAAAAAGGTCAGGCGGAACCTATAAGTGAGAAATTTTTTGACTTTAGAAAGAAGACGCTTTGGTTAATAACTTAGGAACTACTGGACAAATCCAGTTGATCTTGGTACCATTAGATCAGAAATTAGCTGAGCTTACTAATAGAAACATCAATTATTCAAAACAATAAGCGTGAAAGTTGTTTAGGATTGTTTTTAGCAAATTCACCAATTCGGGAAGGTAGATCCTTCACGTTTTAGAAAAAAAATTTTGGAAAGCCTTTACACCCCTACCAAAGGGTAGAAACGGTTGAATAAGGCAATTTTACGCTGTTCTAAGCAAAAAGGGAAGGCTAGGGGCACCAGAAAACCTTAGTCGAGCCGAAATTAGGCTAGCGGTAAGACCCTTCACCGTTAGGGCGAATCGTCGAATAAGAGGCTTAACTTCAATACGGAAGGGACTTGGGAAGGACGACACACCCTTCCTACTTGATTCAAACAGCATAATAGCATCGGAAAACGTATCCGCAAGGGTATCGGTTCGAAATTTAGAAAGCCTCTGAGAAGCTATCTTTACAAATCCGGAGGGGTCCCAATCCGGAGGGGTCGACATTTTACCAATCCGGAGGGGTCGAAATTTTACGAATCAGGCGGGGTCCCACTTTTGCCAGTCCGGAGGGGTATTATTTTGTCAAAACTTAAGAAGAAAACATAAAATAAATAAGTTAAAGGTATTAGGTTATTAAGAGATAGGCTGGGAACAAGTGACTGCACTGGTAACTTGCCTTTTATAAAAACCAAACCAGAACAAAACAGGTCGAAACTCGGATATTCGCGACACTAAGTCTAATTTGAAAAAGAGTGTATAACTCATTGGTGTGGATTAAAATCCAAAACGTTTTTGAGAAAAGTGATTGCCTTGAGGATTTTAGTAGGTCTAGCTCGGGCAGTCCGAAGGCAGATAGGTAACACAGGACTCGGTGGGTGCAATAGACGCCCACTTGAGAAAATTACTGCCTTCAACTTTTGTCCGTTTGGTGCAGCACCACGCAGAAAAAGCTCTTTCTTTAAAAACAAGTTCGACTGTTATACTGCGACTGACTAAAAGTACAAAACACGTACGTTTTTTAAAAAAATTATTCAAAGTTATTTTGTTATTTCTGGCTTTAAATCAGTAATACTTGTGCTTGATTGAGTAGTGAGAACACTATCTTTTAAATAGACTGATATCATCATACTGTGCTAGCTTCACATCTTACAACTAATAATCGCTTATTGTGAATAAATTGTAAATACGCTGTACCGTGATAACATACAAGGATTCGTGGTCATAATTTAATAGAAACTTTTGGAATTTATTGTGTTGTGTTATCATTATCAGTAGTCAGATCAAAGGGACACTAGCAATCGAATCGAGTGTATAGGCAGTAAGAAGTGGTAAATTGAATATGAGTCTACACAAGTCAAGGATACCTAAACCAGGTGATAGCTCCAGGAAATTCATACCTGAGAAACAGAGAAGAGCAATGACCGACCCTTTTGTGGAAAGGATCACACGAACCCGGACCGACAAT